GTTTAAACATGGAAAACACCAAATAAGTCGAGCAAAACAAGTCGCATCCGTGTGAAAATATGAAGCATATGTGCGCCACGCTATCGTCTGATTGGCAATTCGTGCTGGTTGATTGTCGATTGGCAACTCGCTGTAAGCATCAGATTCCATAACCTAGGGCGCTAATCTGGAGCGCCACCATTAGGACAAGAGAGAACAAGAATTATAGTAAGGAAGTCTCCAGTGAACTTTTTCATGTGAGTCACAATAGATCATAAAGGTCATTGATGTAGCTGTATCCGATGATTCTCCTTATCTGCCATCCTACAGCTCATCGCAATTGTTTGAAAAATGTTGGTCCTATGCTCGTTTTTTCCTTTTCTTTTGGAACATCACATTCCAGTACGTGAGGTTTACACTTTCCGGAGGACTTCACCGTCTATTTTGCTGTTTTCATTTCCAATGTCTGTTGACCAGTAGATGTTCGTAGGCTAGACTGTTGCTGAGACAATGGTACTTTGTTCCATTTATTTTGATGCCAATTGCCGAGGTATGGCTTGAACATGGGCGAAACTATTGATCACTGCCTGCGTGCGTATCGTTAATCATCAGCGATCACTGAATGCTGCCCTTCAGCTGTACATTGTCGTCGTGGTTACGTTGTTCTTCTTTTTCGTGGGGTTACGAGAAAATCGTTGCACTTCTCCCTTGACATCATCAAAATGGATGGTGATTGGAAGCCTTGATAGGTGCCGTTGCGCGGGCCACACCCACATTCTTTGAGTTGTTTTTGCTGCAAACTGGTGGCAAGGTGAAGGATGATTCACATTTCGCCCTTCATTCGCCATTTCATTGTCTGCTGTCAGTGCGAGTGCCGTCACATCATTTTGTCTTAGAACACGCATAATCACATGACTGCTACCGTCTCTTTTAAATGCTTTTCTCTCCGTTTATCGGTTCATAGTTTGAGTAGATCCCTGGTAGTAGTTAATCGCCATCTATTATCTTTGACAGCCAAGCAGTCGAAAATTGTTACAGAATTTGTTTTTATATACAATGAATTGAACCATTCATAATTGCTTTTCTAGAATTCTGGCAAGATGTACAGCGGTCGTGTAGGCAGAGTAGGAGAACGGCCGTATTGTTACGGTACATGGTACAACATCGAAATACCGGTCAGTTTCGCAGAGTTTGCACAGATTTACTTTTCGATGTTTTGTTACAACGCTGCTGACAGTCTTCTAATATCCATAGCGATTTTTCGGTTTGTTAGATGTGTGTTTGTTGGCGTAGGTGTTGTAGTAGTAGAGTATTGAATCCATTTTCTCGAAGCTATGGTAACACTGACTCGTCTATAGTTTCATATTTTCTTTTCGGATCGATCTGGTTGCTTTTGGAAAATCATAGTTTTGGAAAGTTCTGCAATAATGGCGTGAGAATGCACTTTACGAGGGGAAGCGAAAGTTGAGTGATGGTTGAGTGGATGCGATCTCTTTTGACTTCATTGAGTGGCACACTCGTGCGTACCGTGCTTTGCCCGACGCTCTTGAAAGAAGAGAGATCGGAAATGTTACTGGGGAGGAAGAATCAGGTCAGCCACGCGCAGCTATCAATGTTTTACTGAAGCCTTCATAGGAATCCTTATTTTCGTACAAGCTCGCGTTTCAATTACTGCATGGTTTCATTGAGTTTTAGACATTTTGTATATGTGTAGTGTACATACATAAGCGGCTTCTCTATGCGGAAGTAGCGCAAAAGCTAAGGGGTGTCAGCTCGCACTTTGGAAGGACAGTCCTTCAGAACCAACCAAGCCCTTTCATTCATCTGGGATCGATTACCTCTCATACAAGGGGTCTGGGCTTGAATGAACAGTGACCGAAATATTGGACGGCTGAAATGAATCGCTTGCGCGCCAGACACCCATTCTAATGCTTCTTTGACTTTAATGCAATTGCGAGAGGCTCTATGATTTCAAGAGGCATTAAGGAATACGTAGAAAGATCCATTAGGAAGATCAGTGTCATCTATATCATTATACATTGTCCTTCATCCTCTTTGTGCAGTGTACAGGAGTGGGGGGGGCAATAAAAAAGAGTTACTTTCCTCCACATTCAAAGCGGATTTGAAATTCACGTTGCAAAACCTCACCAAACGAGCTCAACCTCATTCAACGAATATTAAATAGCACAATCTAGCCCATTGAAAAAGTTACCCAACAGCCTCCAACATCGACGACATCAGAAAATTTTCTCACGGAAACATGGTTCACGGTACGAGCACAACGAGGTCGTCGAGGTACCATAGACCATTACGACGTCCCTGGAACGCTGGTCAAAAGCGGTCTTGCACAGTCACAGCTAGTGTCTCTTAGAAGCTATTCACCAATTAATTTGTTGAAGAAATTGTGTAGCAGCTTCCAGGCCGGAGCGATTACGGTAAGCCTCGTTGAGCTCGACGGTGACGGCAGATGACGTCATATTCTGAAGACGGTGGGGGCAGTGAAGGAGGGCCTGCTTCTGCTTTTGAGGGGACATCTAAGGAATATTCTGCCGTAAAACATTCATCAACAACGGTACCCTGTGTAGCGAAAAATTTGATGATGTGCGCCATGGGAAGACTGACTTTTTGCCCCCCTCCCCCTGTAACGCTTGCCCGCAAGTTTCTCGTGAATATTTGAAAAGGTCCAGTAGCTAAGATCTTGTTTTGAATGAAATGCACTTGATAATTAATGTGCGGAGCATTGAAACTCTTTGCCGAACCCTGTAGTGTTTTTGAGTTTTTGAACTATTACTATTTACCAGTTGGCGCCGCACGCGTTGCGCGCACAGCACAGTTTTGCAGCCATATGGGGTGGTGCGGCGTAAATTCTCGAATTAGGCACAATACACTTCGAATATTTTACTTTCAAGCTGAATTCTATCCGAATGTCCCATGCCTCATCCACCGATGGCTTTTGAACTTCAATATTTCGTCAGCTAATTGACCGCTTTTACCGGTCTCGGACTGTACCTATCTTTTTCTTCCTCGCCAACCTCTCCCCACTTTTTACCCGATCTCTGGACTGTCTCTGAGCCGATTTATATTTGGCCGCAAAACCTCCAGTTTTGGTTTACCTCCGCACACCATTAGAAATTCAATCCCTTTCCTTTGCCCACTTTTTCCCGATTTCCAGGACTATTTGGAGCCGAGTTACAAAATTTTCTTAATAACTCCGCCCACACTGGACATGCCCAGTCCAGCGTGGGCGGAGTTATTACTTTTTCCCAACCTCCGAGACTTCTTGGAACTGAGTTATGAATTTCCGTCGCAAACTCCGCCCACTTTGATGCACGCTTCACCCACCAATAGCAGCTGTTCTCCCGTGCATTGTCGGACTCGACCCACCTTTTTTCGGTCTCCCGGACCTCTCAATATGATAATATAAGTTTAGGGCAAACTCCGCCCCGTTGTTGCTCGTCCCACCCACCAATGGCAGTTGACCTCCCTTTCGTTGACGGACTCAGTTCACTTTTTTCCCGGTCTCCAGGACCTCTTGGAACCGAGTTATGAATTTTCGTTGATAACTCCGCCCACTTTGAACATGCCCCGCCCACCGATGACAGCTAGGCCTCCACTCCTCCACACCTCCATCCACCTTTTCCCCAGCCTCCTGGACTTCTTGGAACCGAGTTATGAATTTTCGTCGCAAACTCCGCCCACTTTGGTCAAGCCCCGCCCACCATTGACAGCTGGCCTCCACTCCTCCACCCACCTCCATCCACCTTTTTCCCGGCCTCCGGGACTTCTTGGAGCCGAGTTATGAATTTTCGTCGCAAACTCCGCCCACTTTGGTCAAGCCCCGCCCACCATTGACAGCTGGCCTCCACTCCTCCACACCTCTATCCACCTTTTTCCGGCTCTTTAAGACTTCCCCGACCCGAATTATGAGGGCTTGTAGAAAATGCTGTACACTTCAGAGCGCGCCCCGCCCATTCTGGGCGGCCTCCGCCCACGTCATGTATGCAGGAAACACCTTAGACATTGCTCCCTTACACCAAATTGTTTTCTGCTCTGTAGGCTTTCTCCCAACCGAGTTATGAAATTTTTCATAAAGCACTGCTTTTTTAGAGAACGCCCCGCCCACCGGGGGTGGGTCTCCCTAATTCGATGTGACTTACCAATGCACACCTTTACCCACTTTTTGGCCCAGTTTCGAGGTCGTTTTGTCACTGAAATCGAAATCTTGGTCTTCGGTACAATTCATTTCGACGCACGCCACGCCCTCTGTGGGCGGGGCTCCGCTTAGCTGATGTGTGTTTTGTATTACGTGAGACCTTGCCCACCCATCCCACACTTGACCCGGTCCCTCCAGGCGGATCCCGAGGAGCTAGGGAATTTCGTGACAGACACACAGACAGACAGACAGACGACAGACGACAGACGACAGACGACAGAACGACAGACGAAGCGCTTTATAGTAGTAGGATCACGGCTAGTAAAAGGCGAGAGAGAGTTAGAAGCTCATTTCCACTATTCAGAATGGATTTGTCTCCTGTAATCGCGTTTAGATAACAATTAATGCATTGGTCGTGCTGAAGTCTCTCGTTTGAAGCATTGCATCCTATCGATTTTATTTTGCGACAATAGAACCGGTTTAATTCATCCTATCTGTCGTTTTCGCCAGAAGTGATGTCTGGTCTTCGGGATAAAATTAGGAGTTTGACATCACATGCCTCTGAGGAAATCAATGAAGCATATGTGAAACGGCCTACATTTTGAGTGAATGGTCTCCGAGGGCGTAGACATTGTTCAAAATAATGGTTTATACTAAATCGAGCAAGCGTCTGGTCTTCCCTAGCGGTCAAGAACTGTGTAAGGAACCTCATAGAGAAGTGCAAGCAAAATAGAAACCAACACTCCGTGTTCCATTATTTTTGTGGGGAAATCGCTAGCACACATTTGTGTCTCAGTTATGTCAACTAACAAATTTATATTTTGTTGCTATTGCTATTTTTTAACACATTGACGACAATGCGAGTTTTGGCTTTTTGGCAACGTGGGACATGGGCAGTTTGGCGGGCGCGATCTCTGAGACGCGCAACCGCGTCTCATTGTCCAACAAGGTGCGTTTTTCGGAACTCAACACTGAAAGTAGCGAAACAAGAGTGCAACGGGAGTTGGGAGGGAGGATCAGTCGGCGACAGCATGTCGGCGCTCTTCAAGCGAGAGAGTAATAACATTAGCTCAAAATAAGAGGCCGTAAACCAGGGGGGATATAGTCAGTTCAGGGAATTGAAGAGTGTTAAAAATCATTAGAATTGTGCGAAAATGGGAATGTGCGCGTTCACGCTATCTTTCTCACGGAAGACTTACTCAAGCTGCGCGTAACGTCGCCGACTCTACCTCCCCTCGAATCTCGATGCCTGAAACAAACAGGTCAGCAGCTGTGTGCAAGCATATCTAACCATTTCATGGACCACGACGTTTACAGCTAGATTAACGTATGATCTACAGAATAAGTAAAAATATTTGGAAGAAGCCGCACATGCGCCAAGAAGGTGATGACAAGGGTGAGACGCGCGACCGCGTCCCGCTGTCCAACGTGGTCTGCAAATTGTGACGCGCAACCGCGTTTCAATGTCATCAGTGTGTTAACGAAGGAAGAATTCTGATCTACACTAGTTTGACTAAAGTCCATTTACTAGCTGGGTCTATTTTTCCAACAACCATAAAACAGCCACTACTAATCGAGTTCCTCAGCGTTTCAATATGTGCTGAATTTGTAAATAACAAGTAATAAAAGGGAAGGTCTGGGAAAAAGTTACTTTTTTTTATCATTTTCCAGTATTTCATTTTTGTTTTTATGTACCGCTTCGTTTGTTTACATTCATCCTTTGTTAGCTTACCATTAGAATGAGACTATATTTGATTTCTTCATTGTCTCCACATAAGATCATATGGTTCGCCAAAATCCAAATGAACAGGTGTATGAGACCGGTATGAACTAGCGATTTGGTCCACGCAACTAGTTCTCACATGACGACGCATAATAATAGTACTCAGCCTTCAGAGCGAATCAATTGAAACCTGGCGCTGTTCAGGGCTGGGCTTTCGTCATGAGCTACAGTACTTAAAGATGATAGAATTCAATTGTGATGTCCTATGGACCCATCATTACAGTGATAACTTAAGCCACCGGCTTTTCTTGAGAATATTAATTAATGCAACTGATGTGAGCGCTATCGTTTTCTGTCATTCCTAGTAGTCGTCGGGTCAGCTACTACGTTCAGAGGAGATATCGATGAGCCGGCACATCCTGTTTGTGTCGCACAAAGTTTGAGAGCGCCACGCGAGACGAGTATCTGGTTTTTCCAACGACCACCAACAGTAGTCGCGAACAGCAGCAGTCAGCCGCCTCCTCCTTTCAACTCCTCGTCCGTCACCTTTTGTTTACCGCGTGTTTCTCTCGTGACACATCAAATCAGCGCGCTGCTCATGGCGATAAAATCGACTTCAAGCGGCTGATTCGTGCTGATCGCAGTTTTGTCACGCTAGCTTATCCCTACCCCATGTTCCATAGTTGAGTGTGACTAATAGGGCCATCACCTCATTCCGTCCGGTTTATGTGAAGGCAGCTGTGCACTCAATGGTCCTCATCTGGCATTCGCGTTTGCACTCATTGCTGCTCATCTGGCATTTGCGTTGTTCTTTAGTCATGATCGCGGTAGATCGCGCTGGGAATCAACTCTTCATTAAAGATCAACATAGGCGTGTTGTTTTGCAAAAATTGCAAAATTTGCATCGATTCCCATTAGTGTTGATTAAACGATCGATTCAGTCAACGTTTGGGTGTGGGCAGTCGTCATGTGGAGGCTATTTTTAAACAGCGCAGTTAGGTGCGAGGTTATCGCCAGAAGAAAGTTGATCAGTCTTGTTATTCTGTACTTCTCTTCCTAATGATTCGTTTTTAAACATTCAAATTGCGAGATTGCTCGTTTTACATGCAGCAAGAAAAGGATCATCTGTTTTCATCACGCCCGATTTCTTCCTTGATTGCTTCACTAGTCGTTGAAAACAGCTCGCCATGTTGCCGACATGAATTCAGAAAGTGTTGCCCTCTCCCCTCCATGAGTTAACCCAGCACGGCAATTTAGTGAGAATTCTTCTAATTAATCTCTTTCTAATTCTTCTAATCTAATTCTACTACAATCGATGATAAGGTAATGAACTATGAAACTACAGGTAAAATCCTAGAATGATTTTTTTAAAATTACATGGCATGTATTTCATTCGGTGTCCCTTTTCCGTTCCGTTTCTCAGAGGTTTCAGGGTTTCCAGAAGTGTGTAATGGTAGGGATAAAGGGTAAGGGATAAAGTATCTGGTGTTGGTCAGTCTATTGTTGACATGGGCCACCATGAGTTTTCCGATCAGAATCCTAGTGGTGTTTGAATGCGGCTTGATTTATACTTTTGCTGATGGGATCGACACGAGTGCAATGGAGGTTGTCACTAAAATATTTGTGCCCACAATCTGGTTATGCCACAGGAAGCTGCTCTGTACCATTTTTGTACATGTGCCACGAAAGGCGACACAGTGTATTGTAAAGAGGCTCCGCAGCGCACTTACATGGTTTTGCTTTTGTTTAGACCAAACATGTCCTTTACTCTAAGGCGCCCGGTTGGTGCGGTGCAGGATTAATCAGGAACCATGGGAACGCTGCCGTCAAGTCGGGCTGGTCTCGCAATTCATTACATGGACGAGACCCTCATTTTTTGCAATGACGCTCTTCATTTCAATCCTGGTGAATGACGGGCTTCAAAGGAATTAATCTGCGACAAAACGTGTTTCAAGCATGTGGAACACATTCTATCAAGAAAGCTTAACCTGGTTTCTTTACGCGCTGCCTTTGCAGTTTTTAGGTCAGGGACCCTTGGTTTCCCATCTCCTGTACTCCAGCAGATTTTGATTCGTTCATATGTGATGTACAAGTGTGTTCTCTCATATTGATCATACAAATTGGTTGACAGGATCTGTTCATTCAAATCATCGCTGTTTTATGTTGAGGGCGCCCTTGCTCCAATGGCGATTCATTAACACGTTGACGACACGCCCTTGTGCGCGAACCTACTCCACCTTATTTTACAAATTTGCATTAACAGTTACTACATTACCAATAATTTCATTAGTGGTAACGAGAGAACTATTTTTCGTATCCAACAGTAGGAAGGGCCAGTCTTGAAGCATGAAAATGGAGGCACAATTTAGGAAAAACAAGTCTCTTCCGTGTGAGAGTGCGGGACGTATGTGTCCCGCGCTGTCGTCAAAGTGTTAAAGCCCCTGTCGGTGAAGCAAGGTTACCGATGTTGTTTTGATGTTCGATTGCACACGTCCTTTTTTTCTAGAGCTGAGTATTATTGAAACTCCGTTTACATTTTTCCAGGTGGACACACTTATGGGCCAGCACATTATTGACTTTATGGTTACACTATGAATTCTTCATAGGGCTCCCTTCAAATGTCAAAAAATATCAACTCAAACGGCAAACAACGCTTAACGAAAAAGGGGAAGTAATTGTAGTATTAGTGCTACTGCGAACCTCTGCATTGGACGGAAACACTCATTCCGAACTATTATAGTGAGCGGAATTGACTTCAACTCTTCATTCGAGGCAGTTTCGTAAACATTATTTCTGACGATAGTGCGCGCAGGCATGGAATTATCTTGTTGTTTTCGGGACGCATTCTCATTAAGCAAAAGTAAGAACAGTGTTCTGCTGATATTCTTTGAAGTTTCGTCCTATTTTTTTTAGTTTCATCAATTATTACAACAGCTAGAATTCTATGAGCTTTGATATCTCATTCAATTCATTGTACGATCTCTTTTCTTGGAACAAGAATGGAAATGTTGATCGTAGGTTTGGCTGTTTTGGTAGCATGACAAACCCATGTTGTAATCGCAGGCACCACATCCCGTTCACTTCATGCTGTCGTGCTAGCGCTGCTGAATAATGTTTGTTTTCGGTGGGAATGAGCGACTTTCCGCCGCTGTTCTGCTCTCCCCGCTTCCAGTTTTATATGCATATATGGACTCATTCCTCTTGTCATCTTCTTTTAATTGGGATCTCACTGTTTCATTTCTCATCACTTCTGCGCTGCTATCATCACAAGTTTTTTTTAAAGAAGTAAAGCTTATCGTGAATGCATTAATTTTCATAGATAATCCAGTCAGACGGTTGGTCTCAGTGGCTGTCTGCTGTCGATGCAGGGGAATATGAATTTACTTCGCTCGATAGTCGTCTGGCGTTTTTGCCGGGTGGAACGAGTGCGCTTTGTCGGTTCCATGGCACAGCATCGTCGTTGGCAGTGTGTGTTGCCCCTGCAGCCTCCCCTCTCGTTTGTGCCCAATGCATCGATTTCGCTTTGAATCCAATGACCCGCACCAGCCTCACCACTGTGACGATTGGCTGCTTCACGTCATAGAGAGAAAAATTTTCCTCCTTAAGCCTGGTGAAAAACCCACGCTTTATGGGACTGCTTTGCACTATAAAGGGCGATGCATTTCTCTTGGTGTGCTTTGCGGCTGATAGGATGACGTGCCATCCCAGTATTACGGCTTGCGATTGGCGGCAAGGCTTTTCATTATAAGAAAATCTCATTCTTCTCCTTTTGAACTCTATTCTCTTCTCCAGATGGAATTTCCACCTATCTGTGAGATTTCGGTGGATGTTTTTTTTGTTTTATTAGTTTTAGTATTGATTGCTGGAATCGTGAATGTAGTTATACAAATCTTTACACCGCTAGTTACTGAGATTTTTTCTAGAAATACTTAAATTGAATTGAGCAATTCCAAAACCTCATTTCAATTTGAATTGCCAAGAACGCCATGCTTTAAACGTTTCATTGCAAAGAAAAACTCAGAAATCCAGAAAATTTTCCGGATTCGTTTGAGTTTTCGTAGTAAAATTTTTGGATGCTCACGATATTTATGAACCTTTTTTAGGATCATTGCTGAATTTTCCCTTTTTTAAACCATGCCCCTCAACACTTTCAGAGCTGGTCTCATTTTCCGTCTCCTATGGTTAACCTTTTCTTAAACTTCAGTAGCAATGTGAATGAAATTTTTTCAGAATTGGGACATGAATGGATCAGAATGGTCTGCTCCTCCCAGATATATCTATGCGAATGCGGGTCAATTGCACAAGCCAAACAGTTCTACTATCGTTGAAAACAGGTGTGTCGGTCATATCTTTGTTTTTTCTTTCACAAAAACTCGAAGTTTTCCCTCATGTTTTCTGTACTCTGTAGAACTGTGGATTCAAACTGTTGTCATATTCCATTTCTCAACGGTTCAATTCCTCTGTTCACCTTGCGATATTAAACATGGGCTTATCTTGTTCCTTTTCGATGGTTCAACAGTTAGGATATCAACCAAATCCTTACCTCTGGAGAAACTTTCGTCGTGACACTAAGAGCTGTATATGCTGGTCTTTGTTCATCAGTATCTATTTAATTCATTTGTTTAGAATGATGATGCCGAATGAGCCACGAGTTATTCCAATTCGTCGGCTTGACACTAGTTATGAACCTCGCGGAAGGGCTCCTGCTTCATCGAATTCCGACCAGTGAGCTCATTATTCTATTGTTTATTGCTATTGCAATATCTATCTCTTTCTTAACAATGTTCGAATATCTTTTGGATCGATGAAATGTTCTTGCAGTTGTCTGCCTTCATTTTTATAGTTATCATCTTTAGTTATAATAACGAAGTGACGTCCTGGAGCGATGACATTCGATACGAACAAAGAGGGAAGACTGAATACATTGACGCCTACGATGAATACGAGCCTAACCATTTTCGTGAAAGAGATTACTCTAGAGATAGAGAAACACGAAATCGTGGTCGACCAGTCAACCAAACACCCGCAAGAAGTCACAGCTCACACGCAATGGCTGTTCATGACAGGACTTTCCGGTAAAGATTGTCATCTATAAAAGCCAGGGGCAAATATTTTAAAGGAGTTCTCTTCTTTCAGAGTGGATGATCCTGTAAGCACTGGTGGAGCAATGGTGGGTGACAGATGTGTATGGGTTTCTGAAGGCGGCCGTCACAAGGGCACTATAAAATTCATCGGCCATCTCAAGGGACATAGCAACCTTTACGCCGGCGTGGATTTTGTAAGTGTTTTAGCTGTGGTTGGAGATGTAATGATTTTTTTTTCATTCGAATAGAAACATTGAGCCGTCTCTATCTCATTTTGTTGAATTGTCATCGTTGTTGTTTATTTGCCTTTAATCTATCAATTATAGATCTGTTTTCACAGTTTAATCAGCTTTACACTACTAGTTTCTGCTTACAAGTCAACGTGTTGTTTCGCAGAGCCCAAATTTTACCAAAATTTGATGCAACCCATGTAAATATTTTTGGTGTTTGGCTGGTGATCTTCTTTAGGGACTGCGTTAATCACCATGAAGTTAATTTTTTAGCCGGTATTCTCTTTCTTTGTTGATTTCTGCAGTGATGGCTTGTAATAACCATTTCATCTGTCCCCGCTCAAAGCTTCTCGTTTCTTTTCTGTGCAGTACTCTCGTTGACTTTATCCTGCTATATACTCATTTAGGATGAAAAAGTCGGTAAAGGTACAGGCGTCTTCCAAGGCGAGGTGCTGTTCCAAACACCAGAGGATCATGCGGGTTTCGTGCTTCTCTCTGCTCTGGATATCATTCCACGTGCAAATGTTACGACGGCAAACGCTCATAATCGACATATCTCGTTGATTCAAAAACAGGTATGAGAGTCAGATACAATGCATTTTGGCTTTCTTTCCCATTTGGCTCCCAATTCGTTGTTGCCATATCCACGTACCTCAGACGTGTTTGACTTGACAGTTTTGATGATTGAGCTACCTTTCATAAGCTCGTAGTAAAACTTGTGCATTTTCATGGAAGATTGATTTAGGCTTCCGCGGAATCCCTTCGTGACATGCCATTGCCTCCTGTGCCTCCACGACCGCAAATGCAGGCGGAAGACTACATGATTGACTCCTTTACCGTAGGTGCGCTGACACATCCATTCCCTTACTGAAGGTAACTGTAGAGAACGTAGGCAAAATGAACGTTTATCCAAAGTTCATACCTTTGCTCTCAGTGAATACTGCAATGCAATTAATTCATTGTGGCTTTGTGTGAAGTCCACGGTGATTCTTTTTTCTTTCAGTGTTTCATTCTTACTTTCAGGCGATACCTTTTACTTTAATTACCTAACAACCTCAACAAATAGCATTGTTTTTGGTTCCTCTTTTCTTCATGTTTTCGATTCTCTTTTTGCTTTTTTTTCCGAACTTTTTACACTGATGTGCAAAACTTAAGGACGAGACAGATGAAGTATCATAACCTTTTGATAGCTTTGTGGACCGTTTAACGGTTCCTGTTAACTGCTTTCTTTAGTGCCCTGTGGCAGCTCTTTGTATGTGTGGTTAGGTTCCATAGAGTCATGTTACGCGCCAGTAACACGTCGTTGGAAAAGCTACGTTCGTCCCTAAGTTTTGCACACCAGTGTATTTTTTTTATAAAATTTCAAATTCCAAATGCTGGATCTGCGCACGGCTCGGTGAAGAAATAAATATGAAATGATGTTTTGTGGAATCGATCTTCTTCCTTCTTCGAAAATTCTCCTCAGAAAAAAAACCTTTCAAAAACCAGAAGGGCTCTCTCGATGTGTTTGTTCATTCTTGACCATAGTTTTTTTGAAATTGGTTTTTTGAAATTGCAAAATGTTCTGGAAATTCGTTTGCCTATTTTTAGCATCCATTTTATAATTGTTTTGCTTATGATTGATTATTTGAGCAAAAAATAATTTTTCAGGAAGCTGTGTAGAAGTGTGCCATCTCGGTGCTTGTCGTTCGGGAGTCATCAGGTGGATTGGTGACGCAATGAGCGATGATCATGATCACATTGAACGAAGTGCAGTAGTTGAATTGGTCAGTATCGCTTTAAAAGTCGTTATCCATATTTAGCTTTCTCAAGACCATCGTTGAAATACCAATTTGGGATGACGAATTTGGCTTATCTTAGAAATCGAAAAAAGACTTGTCCGCATTCACATATACAATGGCTTGCGAGGTTAATTCGATAATCGTCTGGTGTCTCCATTTTGTTCCCATCGATACATGTAATCAGTTCCAAGGGAGCGGAAGGATTTCACGGCCAGTGCAAACCAATCAGTTTTGGCAATGTCTTGTTGAGCCTAGGCTATCACCAGTATCGGCAGGCTGCTTACAAAATTTGGGTGTTCTGTTGTGGGTTTTCTCACTTGTAGAAATAGAGATGTATAAATTTTCCATCTTTTCTGCATGACCGTTGAACCGTAAAATCACTTCTCCTTGAAAAATGAAACGGGCTTGAATCAGGTGAATTTCGAAATGATCCTCTGGAAATATGCCATGCTCGATGTAATACTGCTTTTCATGAAAAAAAAGCATTTAAGAGTATGTCGTAGATTAGAATTCAACCATACCTCATACCTTACCGTACCGTAAGCGCCCACACTAATGGAGCGAATCGTTTCAATTGGTTTCTGCAGTATTTTTCATGACACCCCCTTTATGAATTCATGGTAGCAAAATCTGCAGAAAATGTACCAATTGCCATGCTAATTGAACTTCCTGGTGGTAAGACTAAAGTTCCAGTGTTTTTTATTATATTCTTGAGTTGTCGGAAAACTGCAAATTGGATAGAATTGGGAATTGTCGTGTTTTACGTGCTTTGATCGCCCTTTCGACTTTATTTAGACCTCGTTTTTTTGTGCGGTTTTTTGTGAATATTGTCAGTTTTACTCGTATAATATCAGCATTGATGAAAATGGAGTTAATTTCTGTAAAAAACACACGTAAGAGGGTCCTTTTGATTTTTGTCTGATTTGCTTGTGTGATATGATATCATTAATCTAGTGGTTACGAATTAAGATCTATCTGCAAAACGAAAACAGTACTGCATGGCAAACGGTGCGAACAGAGTCGCTGTGTCGAGTTGACGATTGAGATGTTTAGGATGATGTCTCTCCCTCCGGCTGGCGTCCTGCTTACGAAGCACCTATGTCAAGTGCAGCTGATGTTATGAACGGTGTTCTTGTGCCGACGTCCGCACTTGCGACGAGATCGTAGAGTTGATCCGAGCGCAATGAATGACAAAGCAGGGTCGCCCAAACACAGTTAGTCAACTACTTACTGGATTATTGATTTTCTTGATCATTGATTGTACCAGGTGGTTCAATATTTCTGATCATTCTCATGCTCAAGGAAACACTTTCATGAAAAACTAATACGAATTCTACGACCAAAACATTTTCTACTATTTTCTCCAAGTTTAGTTTCGGAGTACCAATTCACCAACTCATTTTCTCCTTTTTTCCTTTATGGACATTTCCTGTGGCAGCCATTTACTCTTTTTGAATCTTTCCCATTGCATGTAAGCGTTTCGAAGCAGCCTCTTCTCCAACTTCTAGCCCCAAAAGTGGCCGAGTTGATCATTGTTGAACACGCCATTTCCAGCAACCTATAACTCACGAGCAATGGCTCAGGGACATTTTTCCATTGTAGAACAAGTGTCGAGTATCAAATAGGGTTTTTTTGGTAACAAAGATTCGATGGCTTATGAACTTCATTGCTAATCTATCCGCTTGAACGCGCTTACACAGAATCAGATGAGACCACCTAATATGTATCGTTCATTTCTCTCTCAGCCACGTAATGTACCGTATGTAATGTAATGTATTAGGTCGGTCCATAATTTTTGAGATACTTTACATGTTTTGGTGTAAAAATCTTTTGATAAGTGAAGCTTTTTCCAAGATGTCCTGCAACCTAGCACACAAGCTCGCCTATCCGACAGGCTAGCCATCTCGTTTGCTTGTTGCTTTCTTTAGCTAGGATTCCAATTTCTTTGAAACCTATTTCTGAGCCTCTTTCTTCATGACTACTCATTAGGATCTTCCACGCTCCAAGCTATATGGAGGACTTAAAGAAAATAGTTGAGGGCACACTTCCTCATTCCACGGTGCACCCCCGGTGGTTGCCTCTATTCATGGTTCCCTCCTTTATTTGAAGATGATCATACTCCAAGCACCGCGTGACTGGCATCTCGATGCTTTATCCGGCGCCATTGAAAAGGAATCTGAACAGAGTTAGCGCTCTTTGTAAAAGCGCTTTTAGTGTGGCAGGTTAATGTACTGAGAAAACGCGACCCAAGTCGTAGTACTGATGTGCGGTCTAGTACGGTGTGCGAAGATGGAATTTGTCTCTTGCCTTCATGCTCTGAGCAGGAATCATCTTAAACCCAATTGACTCCTTCGTATCACGTACTTGGTGTCCATAGTTTATTTCGATGAGCATCTACACGTCATCGGTGATGTGGGCTAAGTACAGTGTGGCTAAGAAATACGTAAGCAGCTTCAGCCTTAGGTGCTTGAACGATCCAGGAGTTCTGACAGCAGAAACCCAACTTCCTCTAAATTCTAACTCTCTGACTCGTTGGCGGAATACGAGGGAGGCTTTCGCACTGGAGGAACTGGCACCAGCTAATACCATTGTCAGTGTTGAAGATAATCGTCGACAGTTTGATGGCGATTCCTTCAAAATGAAAGCGGAGCAAGACAAATCTGTTTTTTTCTGAGGTCGCTTGAGTCCACCTTGCTAAGAAAATTCCTAAAAAATTGGAGACTCTCGGGCGGTCAGTTCTTTTAGCTCCGCCTTGTAGCACTAATCCTTGTGCAACGAACGACTATCCGCTCTCCTCTCTCAATCACCTTCTGGAGAAGAAATCTCACTTGAATCACCATAAAGTCAAAATCGACATCCAATTTTTCTTCGATCAGAACTCTATGAAATTCTACAAGAGAGACACTGAATACCCACCCTCGCATTGGTGATATGTTGGTAATAATGGTGATGTATACTATGCTGAATAAATACATCAGAGAAATAAGATAAGTAATTAAATCGAAAAACACCAAAGGTTCTCAAAAATTATGGACCGACCTAATACAATGCGAATCCATGAGGACTTGGCCTTGTTTGATGCGTTTCTTTTTCAAGCGGTAGTGTGAGAAATATGGTTGACGTTATTAGTCTTCGTTCATCCAGTTCAATCTTCTTTACGTGTTGCTGGATCGTGTTGGACTTTTTATAGGAGACATCCATCGAACGCGACCTCCTTGTTTTCAGCGCGTGCAGATTTCGGCAGCATCGACAGTGGAATTGAACCGACGAAATGTGATCCTTGGCGCATCACCGACGATCTTGTCGGTCGAATGAAAGGCATACAAGGACACAGAAATAGCTGCTATCTTGATGCCACATTGTATGCTATGTTTGTACAAAGCACCGCTTTTGACAGGTACATCTTTTTAATCTTAAAATAATAAAAGATTAATGCGTAGTAATTTCGAATGAGGCTGCTCCGCATACTAATCTGACTACTTTATGGACTAGTGAATCCTCCCAACCACTTCATAGCTCCAGATAAATATCTCGTAAATAGTTTACCCTTCCCATTTCTGCGCCTCCTTTCTTTTCGTGAATATTTTAAGCCTCTTTTTTAAGTCTTTTTTATTTAATCCTCTTTTTTGTCGAGTAAAGTTTGCTTACTTGCAGATTACTGGAGCGCCCAGCCAACAGAGATGATATACCGCAATACCGGGAACTTCAACGTTTGCTGGCCACGGAAGTGGTATATCCTTTGAGAAAGTGAGTTTGTTGTTGTTAATTATTTTGTTAGTAGCGTATCTCTTTTGTGTTTTTGGCTTTCTTTTCGAAAATTGCTCAAATTTCACATTGATCTCCATTTGCAGGTTTCACTACGTTCGTGCTGATCATATAATGAAAGTACGTGAACTGCTCTCGAAAAGTCTGCCTAACATGCGAGGCCTGACAAGCGAAGAGAAGGATCCGGAAGAAGTGCTGACGGCTCTTTTCGGTGAATTGCTCAGAGCACCTCCGTTGGTTGAGCTGATGTAAGTGCTTTGGTACAGGTATTCATTTACATTCGTGTACCTGAATGGAATTATACTTTGCTTCAGAAATCTGAAGGATAACAAGGTAGATAGAACATACCTTTGTCCGTTAATTGTCGACGACTGGACAGCTGGTGTGGCCACTACGCAGCATTTGCTGGAGCGCTCTATGCGATCAGCGAATGTGAAATTCGCCTATCCGCCTAAGACACTTATCCTTCAGGTTTGAGTTTGCAAATGTTGATGTTTTGTTGAAGAATTATTCCTGTAGGATGATGAATGACATCATAATTTCTTTCGAGTGTTACTGGTGGACAAAAAAAACCTGACAAACTTATTACCATAACGGTTTGACCTGTCTCTTCTTTAAGTTGCCACGATATGGCCAACA